TCCTTCTGGGGCATTGTTCGCCCAGCGGGGACCTGGTTTTAAGCTACAAGACGCAGTGGACCACATCACCGCATACACGCGGGAGCCGCCCCCTCATTCTTAGCCTCATAGATGCAGTATACTGGTGTATTGCGATGCGAGCACTGGGATGGCATGAGACCTCTGATTCCTCTCGCCTGCTGTCATCAACTTTGGCATACTTGGCTATCCCATCTATTTGTCACCCGTTGCACGGCGTCGATCCCGCTCCTCGAGCCCGTCGTGGACCTTTGAATCCGGTCCTTTCCTTAGATCGTCTCTCCAGGACATACATCTTGCAATTCTCATCGTTGGTTCCTTTCCAAACACGGCGGCCGTCATTCCCGGGTTCACCTCTTGTGGGCACCCCAGTTTCTCACGGCACGCGCGGGACCTGACTAGACGGGTGGCTGGGATATCCTTCAATTGCTGACTGAGGGCGAACGTGGTCTTCTGGCGTGAATCGGCTAGACGCCGCTGTCATCAAAGCCTGAGCCCCGAGCTCTTAGTACAGAAAGAGCCTCTTTTTCGCGTCGTCCACCACCCAAGCCAGGCCTTCCTTGAGGTTTGTGCCCGTCATGGCACTGCAACGTAGAATATGCCAGTGATGCGTTCGGATTGCCTCCAGCTGCAGTCCCTGTAAGATGGAGACGTCAGTCAGATGCCCAGCACCTCGTTGAGGGCGTGTCTGGATTCAAACCTGGAGGATCTCCCGTTCGTCCATGCATCCGTTGACGTCGGTCTTGTTGGCAAAGACGAGAAGACTCGCGCCGGATAGCCTCTATAAATCGAGGTTAGCACCGACAGACCGCACCGCTTCCATGCGCGCCCTCGGGTGGGCGAACCTCTTCTTGTAGGAGGCCATGCAGCTCCTCCCTACAATCTTCGATTCGCAACCGGTCCGTCGCGTCAACAACCCAAATCAACGCATCTGTCTTCTCAAAGTAATTGCGCCAGTATGAGCGTAGTGTCTTCTGGCCTCCGACATCCCCTGTTCTGGTCAGACAGCTAGCTTCATAACGTCATTGTGCAAGGCATACAGATGTTCAGCTTGTATCTGGGACGTCATTAGTGCCCGCACTTGATAACTGGAAAGGGCGATCAGATACCCGTCATAGTCGATGGTTTTGATTATGAAACCCAAAGTTGGGCTTACGGTGTTGACATCTTCGCCCATAATCTTCTTGACTATCGTTGTCTTCCCAGCGTTGTCCAGGCCTCTACCCTATAACATCAGTAAAACCTGGGCCACAGGCAAATGGGTAGCCACTAACAGCATGAGGATACGCATCTCTTTGTCCTTAAGACGTGCCTTTCTGAGGATAGACAACATCTTGGTAGTACTCTAAAGACTGCTCGAGAGAGTGTATCTCAACTACAGCTTCAACGTCGGGAAGCCTGGTTTCTCGGGTTAGTCATTGTGCTGTACTGGGCCTAGTGCGATGCACAGGTGCTGGTGCTCCAGCGACGCTACCTGATGGATAAGCAATGAAGAGGGCACGTGACCCTCCCCCGCATTAGTGTTCGGCCTCGGGTGCCCGCCAGCCATCTCACCGACCTCACCGAGATCGCTCACCAGGGTCACAGTATCAGTCAAGGTTCTGATGATTTACCAACTTGCCATATGATTCTGAAGGGAATTTGGCTTAGTTTTAATCAATATAAAGGGGCAGTTTGACGCTGATGTTATGGTAATTGCGGCTATGAGCAACAATGTAGACAATGACATGTTGAACAGTGAATACATTGTAAGTAGGAGTCATCTAGGACGGGGACGGTTGTGTACCATACAAATAGTCATTAGTGACAAGATAATTCCAAAAGACCAATGCTATGGATGACACAGGGTTTTTTTTTCTTTCTGTTGGCGGAACACAAAACCGCTAGGCAAGCACGGCCGACGGGAAAAGCTGAGGGAGAAGGGAAACAATAAATAGGGAAACAACAAAAAGGGAAACGGCCTACCTCCTCCGGACTCTCATTCCTGCCTCTTCTGACTGGGTAGTCTTAGGGTACGTATTTGATTCTACTTCGTTGAGTATTCATCCTTCGCCCTCATCACAAAACATCCTTGTCCGTACGCGCCATGGCCTGACTGTCGTGGCCAGTCTTCATCTACACGAGGAAACATATCAACTATTCATACTGCAACATAGTTGCAGATGATATCCATGTCAGTCGTCCCGAAGTGAGCACCTTCTCAATATTTGCTGCGATCCACGGTGCTCCTTTCAGCACGCAAAGCTAACACTTATTTGAGGCTCAGAAACAGCGCAAACTTGTGATCTCCGTTTCTATTCTTCCACACACCACAGAGAATCAGTAAACAGACCAATTGGTGACAGTTACTGACTGAAAAAGTTCTCCTAAATCCTTCAACGGAACCGCCTCCAGCCCCGAGGATCAACGACCCGCTTTCCAAAACGAAAATAGCGATATAATTACAGGACAACCCCAACGTAGGAGTTCCGGAACACGCCAACTGCTTTTCTGGGCAGCTGGCAAGTGTTCTCAGGAATAAATTCGATACGAAACAAAACAAAAGGAGCCATGACTTCTAATTTTTCCTTGCAACAAACTCGGGCAGTGGAGTATATACCACCCCACAAGCGCAGCCTTGACTCCAAGCTCAGGGTCGAGGTCCCACGCACCCTTCCCGATAGCACCAAGAAATTGGCTCCTTTGACCCCAATGACTCTCAAAGAACTTTCCAAAAGACAGGGTGTGGCTGATAAATCCAAGAAGAGCCACCCATCCATGAATGTCAGCGTGGATGATGAGGCTACGTCTAGCCATGGGGATGGCTCCAGCCGTTTTAGTAATTCCTTTGACAAGACAGTAGACTCCGTCTCTGTGGGACCAATATCCGGCTTCTTACATACCTGGATCGATACACTGTCTTCAGATTGCGTCACCTCCTTTCTTGACGAAGTTGAAAACCACCACAACCATGACGTTGACACCACGAATGGACAGCTTTTGGAGAAGATCGAGCAACCAGACACCATCGTCAACATTGAGGAGGAAGCACTCATGAAGCCGGCAATGTTGCACCGTCGTCGTGACTGGACGAGCAATCTTGTCATCCATCGCGAGATTGCCATTCGCAAGAGCCTGATGCGTCGACAGCAAGAAGAGAGGAAGCGCGAGCGTTTCAGCCTGCCTGCGCAGGATACGCAGGGGTGGGAGCCAAAAGAAGACAGGCACGATATCAATATTCGTAGAGGATCTATATCAAACGACAAGAAGCTGCTTGTCGATTGCGTCTTGCGTCCGGTTCGGCTCGAAGATGCGGTTGGATGCGCCGAGGCCTACAATGCGGCCGTGGTCGACCATGACCACCAGGCGGTCGACACCAGCCCAGTCTCAGCTGAGAGGTTTGAGTTCATCATACAAGAATGCCTGCACGAAAAGCTGCCCTTCGTCGTTGCAGCTAAGCAGAAAGTTGATCTGTCGGATGCCAAGAACTGGCCGTCTCTAGACGCTTATCGGCAGTACATGAGATGGAGGCAGTCGCAGCCGGAAGAGGACGAGCCTACTGAACACACCATATGTGGCTTTGCTTTCCTTATGCCATACGAACGAGGAATTTGTGGACTCAGTGGCACTGCTTGCCCCGCAGTCAGGGCAACCGTCTTCGTTCGCCCGGATCGCCGACGCGGCGGTATCGGCAGCGCACTTATCCATCAGATCCTCACGCAGACTTCGATCCTGTACTATGGAAACGGTGCCAAGTACAAGTGGGAAGACCCTAGTCACGGCGATGACTCCTTTCGCACGCCGGGTTTCCGCAATGTACACCGTAAGTCTCGCATTATCTTGGGCAGCATCATCCTGTACTCCGCAGCTAACACCTAATGACAGGCATCATCTGTCACACCATGGAAAAGAGCGAGGGCAACCAGAGCCTCAAATGGATGGATGAATTTATGGCCTCACTTCAATTCGAAAAGTCCGGTCGTATAAGCCAAGTCTATCGGGTTGACACTCCACATGGCGTTGAGTGGTACGATCAAATCGTTTGGCAACACTGGGCAAACAGAATCGATAGTGTCCGCACCCTGTACATGGGAGACGAGTCCGAGTGTTCATACGATTATCCAGGAAAACCACACGCTCCTGACTACCAGAAAGTCCAGCTTCCTCCCGTCGTGGGAGAAGAGTTCGGCTACGGTTCAGACCACGACAGCGATGATGTCTTTAGTCACTAAGCCTTTCACTTTCGCAACCAAGCCCACCGATTGAGCTGCACCGACACACCCATCGGGGTTCTTGGGAGTCCACTCCAGTGTTGCTATACGTGAGGCCGCTTGCTCAGACTGCTACGATGTTTTCAAGGTAAGCCCCTATCAGAAAATCAGCCCGGAAGCCGTTTTCAGAGCTAACAGTTTCACAGTATAGTAAAATCTCCGGAAGCCGACAGCCCACCAGACTGAAACGAACGGAATCCTTTTCTATTCGCGTCATCTTTCAATGCAGGATCCCTATTGATCATCTTCCTTGGGGACACTGTTGGACATTGACGCCGGATCAAGGAGGCGAAGTCTCCGCCTCTACGGACCATCTCAGAATGGTGAACCTCTAAACTCTGCTCCTCTCTAACCCTTTCCACTTTGCAGTTTCGGAGGATATGTCGAATTTGACAAAAAAGTTGGCCAGACCGAGCCAGTTAGACTACGTCATGCTCATGGTTGGACGGATTTCTTGGTCACGGGTCTGGGACAGAATCCCGGGAAACCAAGTGCAGTTACTGATGCCTGTCTTTGTAATAGAAGAGTAAATAGTTCACTATCCGAATTTACACATCAAGGGAACCCGTGGAGTTGCCGGGTGACATGGCTGAGATTGACTGTACCAACTACGACAAAGGAACGGACATATGGACCTACCGTCTACCTACATTTTATTTCTTTCAACCCCCTAACGCCAAGTAAAAAAAAAAAAAAAAAAAAAACGACTATGCGCACCGAAACCCTGATCATTTACCTGGGCAATCCGACGCTGCTGATGGAGTCTTGTGGCCACACCGTCGAGACGTCGCTGGGCGCGACAGGGCCCCTCGCCCGCAACCAGCGGCGAACCTCCTCCGGGGTCAGGGCCGGGGGCGCTTCGGGAACTGGGGGCGATCCAGGCTGCGGACGAGAGGTCAGAGGCCGGATATGGTGAGGAGGAGGAGAAGGAAGAGGAGGAGGGCTGGGTCTCCGCCCGTAGAACTGCCGACGTCCCGAGGGCGGAAGGGGCTTGGGCTTCCGCTTATTTTCGTAGTGCTCCGTGAAAGTCGGCCGCTCGACGATCTCATCCTGCTCCCCCCCCCTCAATGCCTCCTCATGGGTCGCAGGCCGGTGCGGATGGCCGGGCGGGACTGGGCGGGGATGGTAAGGAAATCCTGCTGGAGGTTGGTCCTGTATCAGGGGCCTGTCATCCTGAGGTCGGGCGTAGGGGTTACTTACAGACGCGTCTGGGCGCAAGCGGTGCGAGTGATCACGCCTGGCCAAGTCTGATGATGGTGCAGATGGAGGGCGGGCAGCAGCGAGAGACACGTCGGTTCGCGGAGGGTGGGGCCGGGCTGGTCCGGTGTCTGTGTAGAAGCTGCTCGGTGCTGCTACGTTTCCATACCCAGTGTACGGTTGAGGGGAGAGGGGGACCTCGGGACGCAAGGGGACAGGTTGAGCCGGTTCGTGGTTCGAAAAGACACTGCTGGTGGCTATGTTACGGAAGCGATTGCTAGCTCGGGACTCGTCTTGTAGCATTGCCGGAGGCAGGGAATCGGAGGGCGGCTCCTGTGCTGGCCCAGTCGAGGACGACGGTATCGCAAGCTGCGGGCTTGTCAGTGTCTGCATGGCGCCGTTCGAATCCGCTCCTTCCCAGATTGCCTCTCGATCGGAGGAGTCAAACTCTACTCCTGTTGCAAACGCTTGAGGTTGGAAGGCGCAAGGTTGGACATTGGGGCTGTCAAAGGCAGGATGCACCGAGGCGCGGTCAAAAGCATATGCATTGCCATTTTCACTTGCCATGTGTTTGTAAAATCCACTTACATCGTCTTGCCACGGCTGGTTGCCGCCATCAGCATCGGCAAACGGATCATCCTCCCTAGAGGCATAGCTCAGTTGGCTCGATGTGCATGGCCTCTCAGCGGCAAATTGCTGAGAGCCATTGGTAGATGCCGTGTTGCTCGACAGAGTCGGTGTCCAGAGTTCTTTGCGTTGCCGCCTAGCCTCACGCCTTTGATGACGAGCCACTGCGATCTCTCTGCGTACGGCTCGGATCTCCTCGGCCAAGGACGCGCTCTGCTGGCTGACCGAGTTTTGTGTTTCGCGTGGGAAATGTGTAAGCCAGGCCTCCACGATCCTTTGGAGCACTGGTTTCACGGTATTAGTCCGAGCAACCAAGTGGGCCCAGAGGTCACCGAGGAACGCATGGCGAGACCCCATGGCGGACAAGATGCAAGCTTCGCACTGGGACGCGACCCTTTGTAGCGTGCCCGGCGGGCGACCGAAGACCACCTCGAAAGTCGATGGGTCCACCCATAAGGCTTGGACTGCATCTAGGCGATGAATAAACTCCTGTATGGATAGAGGGTATTGTATATTCCTGTCGCCTCTGTCCCGGCGTAGTCGCTCAGTCTCTTTGGTCATCTCTTTCGTAACAAGAGCGAAGAGCGCATGGATTACCCAGGGGTTGAGGCCTCGGTGGGTTGGACAGAGCACAGCTGCTTGTGGCGTAAATGACAGTTGGTGTTTCTCGCTGATGCTCATCAGGCCACGCTTGACCATGTTGACTACATTGAGGTTGTCGACCCTTGGGCGGAGGCAGTCGCTAGGAAGCTCACGCATACCCTTTTCCTGATCTTCAAGCCAGTGTTTGGGGGGATGAGCGGTGCTATACCGTTGCGGTAGATAAAGGTATCGGGTCAGCTTCCTGACGGCCACGTCTGACAAATCGTGAATGCATTGAAATTGGGTAGGCTTTCCAGCAGGTGCTGGTGCGGGTCTAGGAGATCTGGTCCACATTGAAATGCCTCTGCTCCCGCTTCGTTCTTGAAATACACCAGATGTCGTTGATGTCGCGACTGGTTTACTCATCCTAACCAAGTAGTGGCTATATAGGATAGACACCTATTTCTATAGTCGATTCGCAAGAAGATGATGTTGTCGGCGAATAAGCCCGAACTTTGTAGTTGTTTCTTTGAGCCTGGCGCAACCGAGAACAACAAGCTGGCCTTATTTCAAAACAGACAATGCAATCCGGTCATGCTGTTGAGGCAGACAAAATAGCATTGAGATGACAATGCAAAATGCCAATTTGCTTTGACGAAACTCTTCCTCAGTTTCACCCCAAGAAAGAATCGCCTATATGCCTTATTCACAACCTGCAGCTCGACAGAGTCCAGGCGTTTTGCCACGGATACTAGGCCGTTGGGATCAATCTACACTGCTGTTTTCTGTAGTCGCTGCCCTTGCACGGGATCACGTAGGAGATCCAGATTATCCTTAGTCATGGCAGCACACACGGATCGAACCGGCCAGCTGGGGTTGGACCTAGAGAGCTGGTGTAAGCACGCGCTGATAGAGCACCAACGACGATCCTAGAATACGACTTACACACCCGGATAAATTCTTCTCAAGTCGGGGAACCAGAACTGCAACATAAGTCGTTGACTTGCCCATAATAAGCCGGCCTTTCTTCCAGTCGAGGTCATCGATCAGAGGTCACTCCTGATGGAGCTGAAGGGATTTCTGGCGAGCCAGATAAGCTCGCGGAGGTCAAGAGGAATCGCTCTATTGGGCCTGGCGATGAGGCGTAGCGTCTCGATGAGAGAGACGTCTTTTACTAGCAACGCTGTTCTGGGCGTGGCTCGACCGACCATGCTACCTCTTCGTGTTGCTGCTAGCTCGCTTGAACCATCCCGCGTAACACAACCCAAAGGAAAACAAGTCCACTTCCCATCAAGCCTGCTATTAAGAGGCAGAACGAAGCTAGCCTCTGATGCGGCGCATGCCAGAAAATCTCAAGTTGCACGAGCGCCATGCCCATTCATACCCACCCTCTCCCATCGTACAGACCTGATATCAAACGGCTCAACTCCCATACCATGCTCGACTTTGTTCGTTATAGACGTAAAGGTTTGAAAACAGCAAAGTTGATAGAATCATGCGTGGTACCGGTGATCTTGTTCCTGTCTCATTCGTTCCAGGCGAATCTTAGCGGCTTCAGTACCATCGTCCGGTGTTGCAGGTTCCTTGAACCATGGATGCTGCAATGCCTGCTTCGCCGTGATGCGGTGCTGGGGGTCGTAGACGAAGATCTTCCGGAGGAGGTCCAAAAAGTTTTTGAAATAGGTCGTGTTCGAGGGGATGATATCCTGAAAGCGGTCAGTGGACCAGCGTTTCTCTGCTTTCCCGCGAGTGTAAAAAGCTTACCTCTAGGCGTCTCATTGCCTTGACAAATCTCTTAGAAGCCCGTGTCGTCTCCGGTGTGGGGTAGTCGAGCTTCAGTCGTTTGAAGTACCTGTAGAAAACGGTTAAAACCAAACATGGCTGGTTCAAGCGGGGCGTCTTACTTAGAGGCCGGGTTGCCGCCACTTCGGGTAGCCATCTTGTTGACGGCCTGAACAAGACTAGAGTCTATTCTCTGACCGACGACCATCTCCATCATGGCAAGGTGTTCGAGGTTATCGTGAGTTTGGAAGAGAGCGTCGCCAGTGAAGAACTCGACTAGAATGCAACCAATACTCCAAATATCACAGGGAAAGGACCATCCGAGACCCAGAATAATCTCCGGCGCCCGGTAATGGCGAGTGGATACGACTGAGCTGTGGTATTCATCCTGGAAAGTGGCAGAGCCAAAGTCGATGAGTCGAATCTCGGTGTCCAACAGAACTCTGCGTTGGTTGGCCTGACGGTTTACGGTTGTGGATGAGGAGGGTATCTTCCTGTTGTAGGTAAATGTTTGGTATGCGCTGTCACACAAAAGAATGTTCTCGGGCTTCAGGTCGGTGTGGATGAGATTAAGATCGTGGAGAACTTGTAGGTTGTCAGCAGTAGTCTTGCGTGCATTTTAGCAGCATTGGACTTACAGGCGACGCTGGTAAAGAGCTGGCGAGCGAAACTCTGAATCTGGCTGTTAGGGAAAGGAACGAAGCTGTTGCTTTTTAAAAAATCAAAGACACTCTGTCCAAGGAGGTCCATGACAATGCAGATATGGCCGCGGTAGTCAAAACAGTCACGCAAGTGAATACAGCGGTTACGGTTCTCGTTGTCATTCTCCTTCAGCGTGGCCAGGACTCGGAGCTCGATTCGAGAAGCATCTCGGTACTTCTGCACCGATCGGATGATCTTGATCGCAACAGACTTGTTTCTGCGTCGGTCTCGAGCCTGGACGACCTTGCCGAAGGTTCCTTGCCCAAGTAGTTTGACCATTTGGTCTGTGGCAATCGTTAGCAGTCTGAATCCACCGATACTACGTGGATAAATGATCCTCACATTCTTTTGTCAGGTCTGCATCGGGGACAACAATGTAATGTCCGTCATCATCGTCAACCTTGGCGTTCTTGTTGTAGCCGTTCTGTGACAACGTCAGCAAATGGGTCAGACACGTGAACGGTGGGACAAAGCATACATCCTGGACCACTCGTACGTGCACGTCGGAGGCCTTCTTGGGGGGGTAGGGAGGAGGCTTATAGCTGACGAATGGATCGGTAAGGCCTTCGACCTCTCTCTTCTTCGCCTCTTGAGCGATCTGTTGACGAGTCCTCTTCCTTTTTTGGCCAGGTTGCGCCTCGTAATATTCCTGTCCATTCGACGAAAGTGACGTGGCAGTGGTGGTATGGATAACCGAGTTCGTCGTTCGGTCGGTGGAAATGGTCGACCCGCTAGGAGTGCCGTTGTGATGAGGAGTGGTTGTGTGGGAGGCGGCGTACTTGTTGTTGTGGTAGACGGGGTCGTACGGCTGAGGCTCGTTGTCTCGTTTCCGCTTCTTGGGAACAGGACGACTGCTGGCACCATTGGCGGTGATGCCATTGCCGTTGGACACGACCCTTACGCCATTGCCGACGGCCTTGCCCTGCTCCGGCTCGGGAGTGTCATCGATGACAATGATTTCCTTGGGGAGACCATTTTTGTAAAACTTGTTCCAGTCAGGCTCCTTTGAGCGTCTTCGCTTACGACCCGACTGGGAGGACTGGGAGTGTGAGTTGGAAGGCATTGCGGTAATGTAGTTCACGTCGGGGCTCGAAGCGTCGTGGATGGTCCTCGAAGTGGCTAACGAGGCTGAAGGGCCTAGGCCATTTGGACCGGCGTGACTGGCAGTGGAGGTAGTAGAGTAGGCGATGCCCGACGAACTGGCGTACGAGGCAGGCAATCTCGCCGTCGCCGTCGAGGACGAAGTGGAAACGATTGGGTTCGCGGGCTGACGGTACGATGAGCCCGTAGCAGTAGAGGCCTGGTATGGCTGATGGTTGTAGGGGTAATGAGGATGATGATAATGCGAGTGAGGTGGCAATGTCGCAGTGGCCGTTGTCGGGGTCGACATGATTCTCCTCGTGCGTTGCCGGAGTCGTGGGAATCACCTTTGGTGTGGAGGGTGAAAGCGAGGACGAGGAAAGGAAAGTTCGACGGTTGAGGGAAGGCGGTAGGAAGTTGGTTTCGCAGGTCTTCCTTCCTCTTTACCAGCGCTGCCGGTGCGGTACTGCTGGGTACGTGCCCACTGGTCCTTTTGGGGGGCTTTCAAGTCCAAACAGTGGATTCGGGCTTGGTCCAAGGTGGTTTCCCTTGGGGGAGTTGAGAGCAGAAGGGAGGTGGGCTTCAGCGCCCAGTGTTCAGTGGTCGGCCAGTGAAGAATGTGCCCTGTGTGCGGCCCCCGAGTTTCTGCGGTGTGGGTGCGTTGTGTTGTGTGTGGTGTGTGGGCGTATGGTGCGTACTAAGCTGCAGGTTGACGGGCAAAAAACAGTGTGTGGTTTTGCGTCTCGTCGCTGCGGTACCGCTAGCCTTGAAAATGGACTCAAGGGTCTTCGGTTTGGGGTACCCGAGTCGTGCACGAACTGTGGCTGGTACGGTGCGGGTGCAAAGGGTACGGATAATGTGTCGTGAGTTTGGTGGCAGTGTAATGGTGGGCCAGGAAGGGAGGAGTCAAGGATTCGTTTGATGACGAGTATGTCTCTCTCGCGTCGGTAACGTCTTGCTACATCGAAGAATATTGGGAACTTTTTAATATCCTTATTTTTTATTATTATTTTTGGTAAATGTTTTGGTTCTCGTCCGAGAGAGCAGTGGAAGAAAAGGGAAAGAGAGGTAAGGAGAAATGAGCTGGGAGCCAAAAGCGAGGGAGAGGGAGAGAGAGAGAGAAAAAAAAAAAAAAACAAGTCGCCGCAGTCAGTCAGTGGTGCACGATTGTGGTCGAATAAGTGACGAGGTTCCGAGGGATGCCCGCCGCTTCACTTGTCCTGGTCCGTGGGAAGGAGGAGAAGGGTCGATGAGGTGAGAAAGGTGGAGGGCGCTGGACGGACAGGAGGCGACCAATTGTGGAGCAAATGGGTGTGACGAAGGACGAGCACGGGAGGACGAAAGGGCGTTGGCGTGGTGGACTGGGTAGCGGGCGAAGAGGGAGGTGGTGGGTGGGTGCGTGCGTGGGTGTGGTGCTGGTGGTGCTGTTGGGTGCGTGGAAGCGGAAATGGAAGTTGACAAAGTGGATGAGGGGCGAGGACGATGGCAATGGCAAGACAGACAGGCGGTACTTTGGTTTGCCGCCTGTCCAGAGCCTGACGCGGAGTACCTTCCAGTCTGGCCGAGCAGGCAGATTGGTACCTACGTTCCTCCTCGACGATTGGCTCGCCGTTTAGGGATACTTTTTCGGGGTTTCCAGCTGCCAGGCTGTTTTAATCTCGTCAGTGGATGGTCATGATAACCAAAGCAGAAAAGAAGGCCGACTGCACAGGCACGAGGGAAATTTGTTGTTGGGGTCGGGTGGTCCAGTTTAGCCCACTTGCGCACTTCACTACACCAAGCAAGTACGGATACGGAGTACTGGGAGGGAAACAAGAAAAACAAGGGAGCAAAACGAAGGGCGTAAGGTAGTGCCACTACCTTGCAGAGTACCTAAGGTATTGATGTGCACTCCCAGGATCAGGAAAAACAAAGCCCGTTGCTGGCTTGTGGAGGTGCACTGTTGGCCTCAGGCGGCAGGGGAGGGTAGCGAGCGAGTCGAGCGCCCAAGGAAGGTACTTCGTCGCATTCGCTGAGCACACCTTGCCAATCTACCCACCTACAGGTCCAGATGCTAGCATGTACCCGGACTAAGGCAGGTACTTGACGGCAGCCATAATCTGACGTGACGACGCAGGTATCCCAGTTATCCGCAACTTGGTAATCTTGTCCCTTCCTCAACGTCCCTCGTCGTGCGGCATCGCGCGACGCTCTTTCAAGATGCAGTGGTGGAACCCCTCTGTTCTCCGGTATGCGCTTGATCCGACGGCGCTGAGAGGGCTGAGCCGGTGTTCAGAAACACTCCAGAGTAAGGTAGCCGTGTTCCAGGTTGCGAATTTGCTCCTCTCACTCACTTCCGAGTAGCAAGCTGCATCGGCGGCGTTTTGAGCGTCGCCGAAGGAACCTAGAGGGGCTCCCGTGCGCTTATTGGCCTCTTCGTTTCGCCCAGGTACTCCTGTGCTTCCAACAGGGGCCTGTCACTGATGTACGGGTGTAGGTAGGTTGCAGGGCACTTCAGACTTGACGCACACCATATTTCGCTCCCGTGTGTCTGTGTCTGTGTCTGTCTGTGTCGAGGTACTCAGGTATCCGTAGGTATCCAGAACTGTGTCTACCTAGGTAGCGAACTGCCTCGTCGGGTTTTTATTTATTTTTATTTTGCTTCGTTCTTTTGGTAGTACAATACTAATACTGCCTTATTATCACATGGCTTGCAGCTTTCGTTTCGTCTTCCCCTTTTGAATCGTCCCGTAGAGGAAACGAAAACGACAACTGCGAATACACAATGATGAAAATGGAACGCAAGAAAGCACACCCACCACCGCCGCCGCTGCCGAGGCAGAGGGGAGGAACAACGCCATGACCTGAGAGCAGCAGGTGCAAGTCAGCAGCTCAAAATAAGATATCTTCCTACTTCGTGCAGTAGCTGCTGCTGTGTCCCTACTTGAGGTAGGTTCTTACCTTGGGTTAAGGAATGTGCCAAGGTAGAAATTCTGGACGTGAGAAAGGAAGGAAGGAAGCGCCGCCTCACTGGAACTGGTCCGTCAGGCCGCATTCTAGCGCCAACATGGCGCCGTGCCTGTGCCTCGCTTCGTCCAAGACAGTTAACCTACAGTGTCGATACATATCTGCCTGCGTCCTTCACTCCATTCCGCCAAACCCACCCATCTATGTATTGCCGCCCTACCCTCTCATATCCCCCTCCTCCCAAGCCGTCGTTGCAGCCAGCCCGTTCCCCTCTCGAACCGGACGTCACCCGTTATCGCTTGCTTGCCTGCCTCTTCCAGCCCAGATACCACGCCACCAGCCTTTTGACCACATTTCTCATCGACGCCTCAGGCACACTGCTTTCCAATGCAATCTGATTCAACGGTTGACAAACTTCTGGCCTCGTCGAGCCCCAAAACATGTCCTTTAACAACAATGCATTCGGACAGCTACCACAGACAACCTTCCCGTCCAGGTCATGCCCCGGCATCGTGGACTCCGTGGTACTGTCACGCTCACGAAATCAAGACGCGCCAACCCAATGGCCGGAGACGGCTTCACGCTCCTCTCACCCACTTTACGCACTTGGTGGGTCGCTCTGGGGTCCGCCCTCCACCCAAACCCGGCTGCCCGCCAATCTGCCTCCATGACGGCTCCCCAGATGGGTTTAGCGTCCCGCCGGCCTGGGCAGATCGCCCTTTCCAAAGTCATGTTGTTGCACAGCCAGCACCTTGCTGTCACTCTGTTCACTAATTCACAGAGATTGAACTCCAGGCTCCAGCCAATAACGACGGGTGAATCAAAGCCCGGTTGGATAAATGGTGTCAGCCCCCATCAGACGGGCCTCGGTGCGACCGCTCCACAACACAGAGAGGGCAGGGTAGAACATCGACGAAGGGAACAAACAACCCGACATATCGGGTTTTTGCTGACAAAAAAGTGCCTTGCCCACCTTAACTATGTATTCCGCAGAACACGACCCTGGCACCACATTAAATTTACCCGAAGTCCTATGCCCTGAAGGCTGCAATACGTCAGAAGGTTTGAGCAAACGCAGACATGATGAGTTTAGACTTCGTCTTTTCGCCTCAAACGAATAGTCTGGTGGCTCGCTCCAGTCATTTAGCTCTCTTATGCCTGTCTCGTTGATCCAGCTGGTGGCACTCGAGGCTTCCGTAACCCAGCGCCAACTATTCTATGCAGTCCAAACGCGACCCAAAGCATGATCCACACATTCCAGGCAATTAGCCAAGATCTGACCGCACGGAACGGAAAGCTAAAGGACCACTGCTCCCCGTCGATTTACCTACCTAGTTGCTTACCATGAGCCCACGGGGTAATGGAACCGTTTGTCTGCTCAATCAGGCAGCCAACTCTAGCCGTCTTCTCCCCTCAACGGCAATCCTTCTCTCACACATCACAATGGCAGACGAATCCCCGGGCATTTTCTAGCGTCTAGATCCTTGCCTCTCCCGTTCAAAGACGTGCCAATGACGCTCTTGGGGAACGGCTCCTCGTGGCGCCATCAACCAACTACGGACGGAAAACGCAACACAGTGGGCAGGAGGCAAAGGGTCACAGTACCTAGCCATCACGACAGTGGGAAAAGGGCACTCGACAATCCTCTTCATCGGACAAGCAGCCCGTCTCCACGGCGTTGTGCACTCTTACAACATGGTGCAGGGCAGGGCAGGGCAGGCACACACACACACTCCTCGTGGTGCTGTCATCAGCCCCTCCCTTAAGTAAACCCGACCAACATGATGCCTGTATCTGCGCGACTCCTGTCGGCCACGAATTGATCTTTTCAAGCAGCCAGAGTTCCACTAGAGAATGCATCTTTCACGGGGGTTCGTTTGCTGGCACAGGACATGTTGCCACAGGACGAGTCCTTTCGTCAGGGATTGGGTAACTATCCCCCCAACAGGGCGCTTTCCAAGTAGCAGACGCATGTGAGGGGACCGACCCACCGTCGCCACGACGCTTACTCGGGGGGGTGTCTTTGCTGTATGCCAATCTGGTACGAGGCGTAAAGTGCCTGCATGACTCTAGGACGTCGAATCCGTGGCAACGAGACCATACAGGCATAGGCCCAGATGCTATTCCTCACCGCGAAACATTGGCGATGAGAGGCCCAGAACGACAAACCTATAGGCCCCCCTCATTAATGATCATCAAAAGCGACGTTCCTGTGTATGCTGTTTGGCCGCCATTGTCAATAATGGCCACGCTAGACAACAACTTGACCTCAACGTTTGCATACAGTGTACATCCATCCACGTAGCAAAGGCGACTCCGCATTCTGCTGTCGGCAAGGCAAGCACATTTGCGATGTTCTGCTCTCGTTGTTCCCGCCTCCCAGCCTAAGCCTGCTGTACCATCTGCCATGATTGCTGCAATGTTTCAGTTCTTCGAGCAAAAGCACGCTGACAGACCATTCAGCTTTCTTTTCGGGGTTTTCCCAAGCCTTTGATCCGTGCTTTTGTCACAGACTCGCTTGTCGGTACCTTTCGCATGCACGTAATCGGGTGCGAACATGAGACCTATCAATAGCTGAAAGGGGGGGGGGGGGGGGGGGGGGGGGGGGGACTGAATGGACGCAAACCTGTCACAGCCGATGAACGGGTTCGATGGTCTGCCGTGGTTCTGAGAAAGAGAGCCCTGTCCCATGTTGCATCGGTCGCCAAGGTATCCCTCAGAAACCAGTACCTATTGTATCGACAAGACAGAAACAAAGTCCTTCAGAGAGAAAAGGTAAAATGCTGAAGGATAGCCAATGAGACTCGGCGATGCAGACAGTGCCGCTGACTATGCAGTAGGGGCACTCAATGCACGCCGCCCGTCCCGTCGCATCCTCGCAGCTAGCGGTCATTAAATCCCAATAGTCTCTCTGGGATAGAGACTGTCGAACCGAATCGAACGGGCCGTCTTTGGGGAGCCCAACCAGTATGAGAACGGCGCGTCGTAAGATATCCTGCTAATCCGGACAGTGTCGTCTCTTCCGGGTGGCGCTGCCTAGCCTATTTCGGTATTCCGCCGAAGGCTTATCAGGATGGTCCGGTCTGTTGGTCGCATCAGTGTGTACACAGGATACAGATGACTTCACGAACAAACCCTTCAGGCTGCCATTTTCGCGATAGTATTGTTCCAAGCTCGCCAGGAAATGTCCATCAAATCGAGTGTTAGCAGTCGTGTAAATAAGACCTTAACGTCACCACTAGCTAGACAGATCTGGCCGGGCCCTCTCGTTTACGGATACTTGCTGGTCACTCAGATGTCTTCCCCCGCCACTGGATTACCTATATGGCTTCGCCTAGTTGGCGCTGGGCGCTCAGTATTCACAGTGCTTCGCCCTGCTCCGTCGCACTCCTACCTGCTTACACCCCGCCTCACAAGCTGTTGGACAAATGACGCAAATGACGCAAAAGCTTTCGATGCGAATGGTATTATGCGGATCTCTGGACTAGTTGTATGCGTATGAGTGCGTAGGCCTCGATAATCTTCTGCATAGGGCATCGACCTAAACGAAATTCGGCAGGCTACGCAGCAGCCAGCTAGCCAGCGCCCAGCCAGCCGAAACAGGGGTTTTCTACTTCATTCACGATGTGAAGGTCGGACGGGATCAGCGGAGCTCCCGAGCCAAGTGCAACTTGGGAGGGGAGGCGTGAAACACTTTCAACGTCCGATCTGATACCGGATTCCCAAATCCATATTACGCTCGTCCGGGGACGGAGATCCCCCTGACGGATGCAATTGCGACAAAACATGACAGGGAAATGCGCATCATATGCTTCGGCAAGACCTGCCTGTACCCACGACGCGTTTGTCGCAGCCGAACCCCGTTGTTATTTGGACGTCCGCTTGGTCATGACTTTCACCATTGCCCAATATTGGGCGCATGGCAATGATCTATATACCCCTGTTGAACACGACGAGACCACCTTCCCCGCCGCGGCCGTGGAACTCGGGCTCCAACTTGTCGGCGCTGATGCTCTGCCGTTGGGGGAAGACGGCCAAGGCCAGCGGAAGGACCGCGTAGCTCGTCACCAGAATGAGACCGAGATTGATGGGTACCACGAGTCGTGGGCGCTGCTTCAGCCATTGCTGCTGTTGTAGACGGACCAGTACCAGGGGCGGGATGACCATGATGGGCGTCGAGTTGAAGACACGGCTGGCGGCGGTCTCGCCAACGGCGATCTGCGCAGCCTTCTTGCTACGGCCGAGGGACTGGGGCTGCCCAGCGGCCTCACCCTCCGAGTTCTCCTTGCGGGCGCCGGCGCGCTCGGCGTCAGAGATGACCGGGAAGACGTCAATTCCGGTCCGCATCTCTTCGCCACGCATGAGGAGGACGTTGAGGAAACCGGCCGAGGCGACAGCGGCGAAGGGTACGAGGCGGGTGAGGGTCGTACGGGTGGCCGGGGTGAGGTTACGCAGGCGCGGAACAAGTTTGTTCAGGCCGACGGCGACACCGCATGAGACGGAGACTGCCATGGCGTAAGACTCGCCCAGCTTGCGCCAGGTGAGCGGGGAAGACTTGTTTGCGTTTGCCGAGTTGATGGCAACGTTGAGGGACTGGTTAACGACTTGCCAAGCGATCGTACCCGCCGTCTGTGCAATTGCATGTTAGGAATCTGGCAGCAGAAGCTGATAGAGACAGCCGTTTTGTTCGGATAAAGACTCACTCCAAGGCCTGGCTGGAGCATGCCGGCCGTGACGATCAGGTTGCTCAGCACGAACGCGGACATGCGGAAAGGGAGAAGGACGGGTTCGCCGGTATCTAGGCGGTTGCGCAGCCGCGTGTTAGCTTGGAAAGCAACGAGCCCCGGGCCGCACCCGCGCAAGAAGAGGAGGTTATGGGTTGGCTATCATGGGCTCGTCGCACCTGGGTGGAGGGTCGAGTCGACGACCTTCTTGGCCTTCCAGAGCTCGGGGGTCATGGAGGGGATCCTTCCCTCCTTATAGTCGGTGAGGAGGGCCTTTGCTTGCTCGAGACCGGTGCTGCCGACGAGGAGGGTGCTGCGGTAGTGCGATAGGGCGACGTGTTAGCCATTATCTTTGCTCCAAGAAGTTTGGCAAGTCCAGGGGTGCCGGCGTTGAGAAGCAATCTAATCCCGGGCGTGTTCGCCGTCGCGAAGCCGCCCTCGGCATGCGTATATGTGCGCGAAGGAACTTCAAGGACTGCATGACGTACCTCGGATCCGTGAGGCCCATGTTGTGTCGTACGCGACCCCAGTACGTGCTGAGATCATGCTGCGAGGCGGGCAGCTCGCGGCTGCCGGGGAGGGAAGCCGACATCGCGGGGGGTGAATGGCTCTGGGCAGGCGTCGAGGAAGAATGAAAAGAGGGCGGGTGACAGCCGACGATGGCCCGGTTAGGGGATCACCTAGGCAAAGAGACGGAAGAAATGGCGGGTGAGGAGCACGAGAGCGGTGCCGACACTGGTGGTCCGGCCTTCTTCTTCCCCTCTCGAGTAGTTGCTGGCCGGCGGTGAGGTCTCGGGAGGTCCAACAAACTCCAAAATGAAGAAGAAAAAAAGGCGTCTTGCGACGGGACGGGTTGGGAAAAGATGGGTATCGTCGGTTGAGCCTTCGTCCCGAGATCGGTGGGCAGGAGCGCATAATTGGAGGGCATTCGATTGGTTGAATCTGCTTGGACCCTGAAATTTGGCAGCTGGTGGCGGATGGCGATGGCTCGGTATCTAAAGGGTAATTTGGGGGGTTGTAGCGGGCTTCGCTCCGGGCAGGGAGAAGAATGAATGGATGTGCTTCTAGGAGCGTGGAGCAGGTAATTGCACGAGATGCAAACTTCAAGTGAAAGGTAAATAACCCA